GAGAGTGTGTAGTAGTACTCTTGGAGAGTGTGTAGGAGTACTCTTGGAGAGTGTGTAGTAGTACTCTGGGAGTGTGGGTAGTAGTACTCTTGGAGTGTGGGCAGTAGTACTCTGGGAGTGTGGGCAGTAGTACTCTTGGAGAGTGTGCAGTAGTACTCTTGGAGAAGTGTGGGCAGTAGTACTCTTGGAGGGTGTGTAGGAGTACTCTTGGAGTGTGTGTAGTAGTACTCTTGGAGAGTGTGCAGTAGTACTCTTGGAGTGTGTGTAGTAGTACTCTTGGAGAGTGTGTAGTAGTACTCTGGGAGTGTGGGCAGTAGTACTCTTGGAGGGTGTGTAGGAGTACTCTTGGAGTGTGTGTAGTAGTACTCTTGGAGAGTGTGTAGGAGTACTCTGGGAGTGTGGGCAGTAGTACTCTTGGAGAGTGTGTAGTAGTACTCTTGGAGAGTGTAGTAGTACTCTTGGAGAGTGTGTAGGAGTACTCTTGGAGTGTGGGCAGTAGTACTCTTGGAGTGTGGGTAGTTACTTTTTGAGTAACTAATGACTATGACTTGTCTTTGTCTACCTTGTGTTCCTTTTTTTAATGATTGATTTATTTACTTTATGTATATGAGTGCTCTATCTGCATGTACAACTTTATGCCAGAAGAGGGCATAAAATCCCACTATAGATGGTTGTGAGCCACCATGTGGTTACTGGGAATTGAACTAAGGACCCCTGGAAGAGCAGCCAGTGCTCTTAACTGCTGAGCCATCTCTCTAGTCCCGAAAAATCAATTTTTAATAGTACATGGTCATATTACTATTTAGACTGTGCTATTGAAATTGAGTGTTCTAAAACAAGATTGTAGCTTGGTAGTAGAATACTTGTCTAGCATGTGTAAGGCCCTGGATTTGATCCTCAGAAACACACACACACACACACACACACACACACACACACACACTCACTCACTCACTCACGCACATGCGCACCAGAAAAGATAGTTATTTATATGACATCATATGAATTAGCCAAACTGGGGCTGGTGAGCTGGTGTATTGAGTAAGGTGCTTGACTGCAAGCCTGCTGACCTGAGTTTGTTCCCCAAGACCCACATGGTAGGAAAGAACCAGTTCCTGCAAGTTGTCCTCTGATGTCCACACATGCTCCATGGTATGGACACACACGCACTAAATAAAGTGTATTTGAAGTTTTTGTTTGTTTTGGGTTCCATCCTAAGCTTTCTGACTTTTTAAGGAGGAGTCTCAGAACTATATAGTTTTAAAATTATTCTATGTAGCTTTGGGTACTACTTTTTCATGATTATTATTGTGGAGTACACAGTTCATACTTGTTCTGGTTAATTTTTTTGTCAACTTGATGTAAACTAAGCCCATCTGGGAAGGGGGAACTCAGCTGAGAATATGCTTTGGTCAGACTGGCCTGTGAGGCATTTTCTTGATGAATGATTCATGTGAGTAAGGGCCAGCCCACTCTGGGCGTTGCCACCCCTGGGCAGGTCATCTTGCATTGTATAAAAAGGAACTGAGAAAGCCGTGGGGAGCAAACCAGTAAGCCGTGTTCCACCATGGCCTCTGCTTCATTTCTGCCTCCAGGTTCCTGCCCTGAGTGTCTGTTCTGATGTCATGTTGGACTGTAAGCTGAAAGCTGAACTAAACCCTTTCTTTCCCCAGGTTATGTGTGTGTACACGTGCATGCCTGTATGTGTATGATTCCTGTCTTAGCAAATAGAAAGCAAACTAAGAAAATTCTGGATCACTGTATTTAGATTGTTAATTACCTGCATCTGTGTGTGTTAGTTCTGTCTTTTTGTTTGTTTTGTTGTTGTTGTTTGAGTCAGGCTATCACTGTGTAGCCCTGGCTGTCCTGGAACTCACTCTGTAGACCAGGCTGGACTTCAAACTCACAGTGATCCACCTGCCTCTGCCTCCTGAGTGCTGGGATTAAAAGCCCAGCTATATCTTCATAATTTTTTAAAATTACTGCATTTATGTACTTTTTATTTGTGTGTGTGGTCATGTGTATGTGTGTGTGCCTGCGTATGTGCATATGTGAAGATTAGAGAACAACAGGCAGGAGTCAGTGCTCTTCTGCCACGTGGGTCCCAGGGATTGAACTCAGCCCATCACACTTGGTCACAAGAGGCTTTACCTGCTAAGCCAAGCAAGCTTTGTACAGCAATGTCTTCATAATTTACAGAACTTAATGACTTAATTTTTAATTCCAGTGCCCAGCAGGATGCTGTTTTTGAATTGATTTCCATGGGATTTAACGTAGCATTGTGGTATACCAAATATGCTTCAAGATTGGCTGGAAAAGAAAAGTAAGTTAGAAAGCAGAGGTTTTGTGTGTGTGTGTGTGTGTGTGTGTGTGTGTGTGTGTGTGTGTGTGTATTGTTTTTTAAACATAATGAAGTTCCACTTGAAGTAAGTATAAGAGTCATTGTTCATACTTACGTTCAGCAGTTATGCAGCTTAATCTTTGTTTTGTAAATTTGTATTTATTGCTCTTGGGGTGGGAGAGGGCACACAGGCCAGGGTCAGAGGTCAGCTTGTGGAATAGGTTCTCTCCTTCCACCTCTACATGGCTTCCAGAGATCGATTCCAGGTTGCCAGCTTGTGCAGCAAGCCTTCCCACCACATCTGTACGCTGGTTTTAAAGGGGAAAGGTTTTCATTACCTTGTTAACAATGGTAGATTTAAATGAGGCCCCAAACTAAGAAGTCATTAAAAATGTGCCAATTGGACTACATTTAAAGTACTATAAACAAAGATTTAAAACAGTGACAGAATTGGTCAACAAAACTGCAACTCGTTATAAGTTGTCCTTTTTTTTTTTTTTTTTAGGTTTTTCAAGACAGGCTTTCTCTGTGTAGCTTTGCACCTTTCCTGGAACTCACTTTTGTAGCCCAGGCTGGCCTCGAACTCACAGAGATCCGCCTGCCTCTGCCTCCAGAGTGCTGGGGTTAAAGGCGTGTGCCACCACCACCCAGCAAGTTGTCGATTTTTTTAATGTATAATCTAAAAATTAACAAATGTCATCAAGTCAGTTGAAAATAAAGGATGCGAATAGGCACTTCATAGAAAAGAGGTACAGAAAGCTTGCAAGCATATAAAAAGATGTTTGGAAGACTAAAAACTGCATGAGGCTGGTGAGGTAGCTCAGTGGGTAAGGGTGCTTGCTACCCAGTGACATAAGCCTGAGCTGGACCTGGAACCCACAACGCGAGGGAGGGAGAGAACTGAACCCACAGACTTGTCCTGCGACCTCCACTTGTGCACCTGTGCACACAGAGAAAGTAACATTTTTTAAGAATTGTAAAATTAAATGAGACAACTTTTGTAGTGACTGATGTGGATACTGGCACATCACTTGGGATTCATCCATACATAATAACATGCAGCCGTTTAAACATGAGTCATGTTTGCTAAAATAAAATGATTCAGATGAACAGAGTAGTGTGTGTTAAGTTCATAATATTTTGTATTTGTTTATGGCAGAACAGTCTGGAAAGAAATTAGACTGTTTAGCATTTATTTACTTCTAGGCAAGGTCTCTGTTCACCTGCAGAGTCTTGAAATATATTTCATGTGCATTTTTAATTGGTTTTGGTGTCAAATTAGATTGTTTTCTTTTTAAGGAAGAAAACTAATAATAAGAAACACAAATAGCTAATTAGTTTTCTGATGTTTTTAAAGTGTGTGTGGGGTGTGTGCACATGCACGTGGAGGCCAGAGGCATTGTCACCTCTGGCCTGGAGTCACAGGCAGTTGTGGGCCGCCTGACATGGGTGCTGGGAGCTGACCTGAGTCTTCTGCAAGAGTAGCAGGAGCTCTTAGCCACTGAGCCCTCCCCCAGCCGTGGTGTTCTGATATGTGTTAGCTCTTAGTGCCAGGAATAAGACTCATCCTCTGACTAACGTAACCACTGTCTTAAAGCATAACAGAAGATGAAGCAAAAGACGTCCATCGAAGCCTAAAGATTGCAGCTGGGATTTTTAAACATTTAAAGGTATAATGGGGAAGTGGGGCAGGGTGGGGCAGGGGTGGCACATTAATTCTTGGACTGCATGGTGGGATTAGTAACTCCATGTGTCAAAGAGGTAGTCCAGTTCCTCCGGTAACTGTGGGGAGTTGGTTCAAGAACAGACTGCCCTTCCACATCTCCATACCAAAGTCTAGATTCCCAAGTGACTTGGGCTCTGTGTGTAAACCGTGCACATTCCTGTGCTCTGTAAATCGTCTCTTGTCTACCAGCACCGTGTAGTTCGATGTGAGTACTCGTCCTACCGTATAGTCTAGGGAATGGTTGACAAGGAAACTGTACAGACTCGGCACAGATGTAGCCTGGGTGCTGAGCGCCCATGTGGAGTGCTCAGGTCTGAGCTGACTGCACGTTGTACATTAACCACCTTATTGGTGAACTACAGCCAGTTGCTGTGTTAATCACTCCATTTTCCCTTAAAGTTGGTGAGTCATAACTAGAAGTTTTAAGTTACAATATTCTGCTTGCCTTTCTGTCTCTTACCCTGAGTGAAAACAAAACAGGTGAACTAACGTCTGTGCTGTTGGGCATTGTTCTCGCTGCGGCCGGGGGCAGTCACAGTTCCTCAGCACTGACTCTGAGGCTGCCTTCTGGGTCTCACTGGCCAGCCAGTCACTGCAATCTAGTAATGTCAGATAACCTGAAGATAGGATGGGAACTCTGAGGAAAAATCGTGTCTTCCTCTGAGACTGGTCTTCTGCTTCATTCTCATGAATGAAACTGCTGCTTACTAAGGGCTGCTTGGAGGCAGCTTTAAGGTGTTTTTGTGTCCTGAATTAGATGTAGAATTTGTAGTATTTTCTTTTCATCATTAGTTTTTACTGTGAATGAACAATTCACAGTACAAAAGAGAATTTTGGTTACTGTTGCAGTGAATACTTTCTAAGATGAAAGCATGCTTTGCATTGTATTGCGTTGGCAAATCTATCCATAAACTAAATTTTGCTGTTGGATTTTTTTATAAAAGTTGACGTTGAATACACAATACCTCACCTGTGAGCTTGTAGTCACTGCTTGGTCTGTTCCCTTAGGTTCCCAGTGAGTCTCTGAGTTGAATGTCCTGTAGTCGTGTCTTCAGCTCTGACCATAGTGTTAATATGAGACTGACATGTTTGTTTCCTGTTCTTCCTCTGTAGGAAAGTCATATACCCAAACTTCTTACACAAGCAGAAAAGGGACAGGACTTAGAGGCTCGGCTCATAGATGCTTACATCATCCAGTGCCAGGCTGAGGCCCAAGAAGGTATCTAAATACTCGAAGGTGTTTTGTTTTTAAGACTATTTATGTTGGCTTTTGATTCCTTTAGAAAATACCAGAATTAGCCTTTCAGGTTTGAAGAATTGATTATGAGGGTCATTTTACCTTTAACATTTCCTTTGCTGTTTAAAGAGCTCCTTCCAGCTAATGTTCCTTTAAAGAGGATTTTGATTTCATGCCTTTTGACAACATTAATGTTAATCTTTGGGTTTTCTTTTTAAGATTAATTTTTAGGGGTGTGTGTGTGTGTGTGTGTGTGTGAGAGAGAGAGAGAGAGAGAGAGAGAGAGAGAGAGAGAGAGAGAGCGCGCATGAGCACGCGCAGGTGCCCTGGGAGGTCAGAAGAGGGTGCCAAATCCCCTGAAGCTGAAGTTAAAGGTGGTTGTGACCCGCCCAAAATGCATGCTGGGAACTGAACAGGTTCTTCTGAAAAAGCACTATGCTCTCTTAACTATGAGCTATCACTCCAGCCGCAAACATTAACTCTTCACTGATCTTCCTCCTGTGGTATGCTTATTATTTTTCTTCTTCCACTCAGTAACTTACCTTGAAGTCTTCATCTGTCAGTTGCAGAAAACAGTAAAGTAACTCCTATAAACTTTTTATCTGTATTTCAAAATTGAGTGCTTTCAAAGTCTTTTTCTTCTTTATGTTATTGCTATTTTACAGTAATTCTCTGTTATTGACTAATAGTTGGTTAATGGTGATTTTAAGATACTGGATCAGAAACACAAAATCAGTATTTTTGTGTTTATATTTTCTATAAATTTTTACACTAAAATGTATTAAAAAAAAAAAACCTGAAAATCTGAAAGAAGACTATCAGGCTGTCTTTTGCTGTCATGACTGAACTTCCCATACATGGATGTGAACTTAGAGATTGTATTTATTGTGTTTCGGTTACAGTAACAATTGCCCGAGCAATTGAATTGAAGCATGCTCCGGGACTGATCGCTGCACTTGCCTATGAAACGGCCAGCTTCTACCAGAAAGCAGGTAAGCTCATCGGTTTGTTACATTCACGGTCCTTAGATTTTTCATGTCCATTTGATTTTTGCTGAAAAGGGAAGAAAGCGAGATTCTCATATTTTCCATTATAATACTAGAATAAAATCTTTGGGGTTTTGGCCTTGTTTAAAATAAGAGGCCAGGCATGGTCACACAGGTACTCCAGAGGCTCAAGGCCTGTCTGGACTACAGAGTAAGATCAAGGCTAGTCTGGGCAATTTGTCTCAAAAACAGAGAGATAGCTCTGTGGGTAAAGTGTGCCATACGAGCATTAGGACCCAAGTTTGATCTGTAGGATGTAAAAAATCCAGGCGTGATGACATGTGCTTGGGATCTTAGAGCCAGGGAGTAGGAGTCGAGGGGATCCCTGTGGCCAGCCTCGCTCAGTCAGTAAGTTCCAGGTAAAAGTGAAGAGACCTTGTCTCAGCAGATAGGGTGAATAGCCTCCACATATACACGCACAAGTACACACACACACTCCTCTCAGACACAGATATGCACGTATACGTGTTAGTTAATGAATATGTTATAAATTAATGTATGAGAAGCTGGGGCTGTAGCTAGTAGTGGAGCACCTGAGTCAGTCCCCAGTCTCACAGCTAATGTGCTGCACGGCTTCTAATGGGGAGAAAGGTGACGGTGTGCTTCCCACCGGGTATAGCCGGGTATATGCAGCCTTTGCTGGTTTCAGTCTTTGTAACAGTCTTCTTTATGTATTTAGTTGGTTAGTTTGTTTTTAAGACTGAGTCCTTCTGTGAGCCTTTGCTGGTTTCAGTCTTTGTAACAGTCTTCTTTATGTATTTAGTTGGTTAGTTTGTTTTTAAGACTGAGTCCTTCTGTGTAGCCCTAGCTGTCCTAGAACTCACTCTGTAGACCAGACTGGCCACAAACTCAAGAGATCCACCTGCCTCTGCCTTCCAAGTGCTGAGACTAAAGTCATGCCCAGATCTTTATAACCGTTTTAAAATTGCTACCCTTATTTAGCTAAGAATAGGAATAGTGTTACATATTACATAGAACAGGGAAGTGTTGCATGACCACCAATAACTTGAGTGCTAGCATGTGGAAGGTGGGACCACCAATAACTTGACTGCTAGCATGTGGAAGGTGGGACCACCAATAACTTGACTGCTAGCGTGTGGAAGGTGGGACCGCCAATTGGTGCCTGTGATCTAGGAAACACACTTAGCTTTCTGTTTGGAGGATCGTTACTGTTTCAGTTGCTGAGTAGGTAAGAGTAAACTCATAGTCTAGGGAAGGAGATGAACTTGGAGTCAGATCATGATGTAAGCTACAACATCAGTGATGTAAGAAACGGAACAGTGTGGGCGTGCTAGAGCATGCTTGCGAGAGGAAAGTGGCTTTTTAATCTCATTTCAAAACAGTGAATTTGACTGGATTGTAATTTTGAAATACACAGGCTTGCTGTGTGAAGGAATAGGCAGGCTGCGTGGTTAGGAAGACATTGTTACAGGCTTTGGAGGAAATGAAGGAAGGTTTGACGGTGATAGTGAAGTGGAAAATAAAGAAAACAAAAGTTGATTTAGGAAGTGCTTGGATTATGTGAGCTGTGCGGATATGTGAGTGAGTGTGTGTTGTGAATGCACGGTTCAGTACTGGCTGAATGGATAATAGGAGTTGTTTGTGGTAGGCAAATAGAGTGCTGTCTGCATGGCTATGTTACATACAGTTTTGAAGCTATGATAGAAATACTTGCTTTGAAATCCTTTGTTCTGTCTTTTTTGTCATTAACTTAAAGCCACATTAACCATCAAATTGAAGAGGTACTGATTATGTTGTTCAAATATGTAATTATGAGGAAATAAACCATGTTAAGTATTTACGTTTTTTTTTTTTCTTAATGTATGAAAGCTAGAAGTTAGACTAGATGGCATTATGTTTTTAGCACCAGAACACAGGAACTAAGAAATGTTCCAGTGAAAGTGGGTGAAATGATATTTTGCTTTTTAAAATGTAACTTTAGATCATACTTTATCCAGTTTGGAGCCTGCATACTCCGCCAAATGGAGGAAATACCTGCACTTGAAGATGTGCTTCTACACGGCCTATGTGAGTACCAGCAGCCTACAGCTGGGGTGGTTACCCTCCGGCCCCTTGATTGCCAGGTCTCATCTCACCACTAACCATTAGCAGCAAGCCAGGGACAGGCAGCTCTCAGGAAGTATTCACTGGCAGGAGTGAGTGGAAGGAGATGATAGAGAATTGGAGACCTAGAGTTGCTGCATGGTCCCAAATCGTATTTTCAGGCTGGACACATAATGAGAATTCTCCAGTTGTTTTATCCTGTTCATTGAGAAGGGTATCCTCAGATTCTAATCTTAATGGCTTGGGAAGATGTAGGTTGTGAGCAAGTGTAAAGAACTGAGCTCAGATCCCCAGAAGCCATGTTAAGCTGGATGCAATAGTGCACATCTGTAATGACACCACCCTACAGTGAGACAGAAAGAAATACCAGCAGCTAGCCTTGCATGCCTCACGTCAAATAACAGGACACCCTGCCTCAAACAGAGCCGAAGGCCTGGACTGAAACCAAGGTTGGCCTCTGACCACCTGCCTCACTCACATCTCTATACACACAGCGATTTTGTTGTTGTTTTATTTTAATCCTGAGGCATACCACGAAGTGTATATGACCTAGATAAAAAACCACCAGTGTGCACCATTTTAGAAGTTCTTTACCAGTTGGTTAAACCACCAAACTTAAGATTGTTATCATATGAGAGGCAGTCAAAACCTTTTTCAGAGTTAAGTAATTGTCTATCCCTCACGTGCCATAATGTTTTCCAACATACTACTGCTCAGCACCAAGTGTCTGTTTCAACAGATTTTAATGAGCAGACTTTCGGGCTGATGCATTTTTCTTAAAACCTTGGTCCTTCCTGGGTGTGGTGAAACATTCCTGTAATCCTAGTGTTTGTAGCTGAGGCTGGAGGATCCTGAACCCAGCCTGAACTCAAGAAGACCTTGGTTGGCGGGAGGAGGGGACATGGACAGGGAAAGGGACACATGGAATGGGACAAGCAGCAGACTCTCTACTCTGTCATCTCAAGACGCTAGCCACCCCCTTTACGTATGCATAACGAAGAACTGACTCCTTTATTTACTTCTGTCCTCTTTAAAACAAGACTTAGCTAGCAGGTTTTGCTTTTGGAACGTAGTGACAAATCTCCTTTGCCTCAGGGCTGCACCTAACTGTACCTTTGATTTGGGCAGAGGTGGAGGGAAGCCCACCTCAAGGAAAGGATTGCACTACAGTCCACACAGTGACGGACAGTGTTTGTCTGACATGTAACCTCGAGGACAGAACATATGAAATGTGTTTCTTTCACCAGGCATACTGTTACCATGGCCAGACTCTGCTGGCCAGTGATAAATGTGGAGAAGCAATCAGGGCTCTCCAAGAAGCAGAAAAATGTAAGTTTTGCTTTCAGAATTTTCACTCCCTTTAAAAAAAAAACTTTTCATCCTAAAGGGAATGAGTAGATCTGGCTGAGTTCATAAAGGGAATAGACAAGATGGTTGGAGAACAGAAAAAAAATTCTCCTCCTCGAGCCTGTAGAAGACGCAGCCTCCCGCCACACCGTCCTGTGCTGCGTATGTGGCAGGTGACAGAGCGGAGGTGGCTGCTGAGACTCAGCCTTTGAGCACGCACAGCAGGCGCAGCTGTTCTGAGACCTCTGTCCCCCCTGCAGTGTACACGGAGGCCGAAGCCCTGTGCAAAGAGTACGGGGAAACCAAGGGGCCAGGACCCACAGCCAAGCCCTCAGGTCACCTGTTCTTTCGGAAGCTTGGAAGCCTGGTGAAGAACACCCTGGACAAATGTCAGCGGGAAAATGGGTTCATGTGAGTCGCTCACTCCTTGATACTAATACCACAGGGATTGTCATGTTAAAATAGTAACATTTTAGTAACGGCTTTATCTCTAGTCTCAAAGGAGTTGTCTTAAGTTGCATTTAAATTTAATACTTTCTTTTTAAATCGGTGAAGTTGTTTGTAAGGCTTTTTACTCTATATATGGTGATGTCATAAAAAACAGGTTTAAAATCTAAATGTGAATTGTTAATGTAAGTTTATTTCATCAGGATACTCCTATAAAGACGTCATTTTCTCTTAACTTTATTTCCATTTGCTACTTTGATGTGGGGTGTGTGTGTGTGTGTGTGTGTGAGTGTGTGAGATCAGCTTCTTTGCATATTTGTCTCACTCTGGTTTGAGCTAACTATAAAGTAAGAAATTTAAATTTTCTCATAATTCTTTCTGCCCCCTTTGGGCAGTAAGACCAAGACTGTTAGTAACTTAGTGTACAAACTGTAGTGCAGTGCCTTCCTAAGCTGGGCCGATCACTCTTGCCCCTGCCTACCTTTTTATATACTCCCTGTGATCCTCAGCGTTTGCTCACTGAACTTTTTACTCGTCTGTTTTTATCACTTCCCCCAAATGCCGGCCCACCGCCCCACTTTGCCTTCTTTCTGCCCTTGGGAGCCTCTGTTGCACAGTTCTGTAACTGGTGGGGCTTCCTGACTTTCTCATCTGGCCATCTGGGACTGCCCCCAGGGCAGAGAACTGTCAGGCTCATTGTAGCCTTGAACATATTAGGTGCTCAGGTAGTTGCAGAATAAATGAATAAACCACTATTTAAATTGCTTTTTGCAGTTACTTTCAAAAGATCCCAACAGAAGCCCCACAACTGGAACTCAAAGCAAACTACGGGCTGGTGGAGCCTGTGCCTTTTGAATTTCCTCCTATGAGTGCTCACTGGACGCCGGAAGCGATGGCCGCATTTGATCTCAGCAAGAGACCCAAGGATGACAGTGTATGAGAACGGGGCTTTTCCTCCAGTCCAGACGTTTAAGAATGTAGAGCTAGTTTGCGATGTCCGTCTGCTCCAGCAGGCCTATGTATTTGTCTGAATGCTCAGTCAGCTCACCGTGGTGCCGCTTCCACTCAGTTGTAGATTGCTCTCAGAAGCAGCCCTGCACCTTCAGTGACTTCTAGATTCTCTGTAATTTACAGACATTGTTGTCAGCACATTGTCTCATTTTCACAGCTTGTGTGTGTGTGTGGGGGGGGGGGGGGGGGGGTCATCCGTGTTGATGTTGCTGTAGCGATGATGCCCCCTTCTGACACTGGGTATTTGAAGGTTTGGTTTAACTCCCTGGCACTCCATTAGTCATCCAGGAGTGAAGTAGAAGGCTTTGCATTCTTTTATGCCTAAGCACTCCTTGGTGCTCTGAGTCGAGTGGTCGCTCACAGGGCAAGTTGTATGTGTAATTATCAAAAGACTAGGGCTCTGTGGCCGAAGGAGTGGGCATTGTTTTCCAACCAAAGTCCTCCCTTGAAATTGCATCTTTTTACAGTTTCCTCCCCACACAAGTACTCCTTAAAGTAATCCTTTTTTCTTCCTATTGAGCCTCTAAGACAGTACCTTCAAAGATAGCTTATATTGTCATAAATGATCTCGACACCCTAGGGTTCCCTTACCAAATTTTTTCTTCCTTTTCCGAAATTGTAGAGGAGGAGTACCTGCTGGACCTGAGGTTTGCATCCACTTGGGTGTTGCCTGTGGGCCGCATTTGAAAGTGCAGCTTCTGGAATAGCGTGGGTAGCCTCAATGCTGTCCTTTAAATACAGCACCTTTGAAGGTCTGAAGTAGAGGAAATCTGTGGGTTTTCTTAATCTCCATTTGCATATTTAACTTTGTTTCTTTCTCCTTAGGTCAAACCCAAACCAGAAGAAGAAGTGAAACCTGTAAAAGAACCAGATATCAAACCTCAAAAGGACACTGGGTGTTCTGTCTCTTAAGAATGTAACACTTGCTTAGAAATCTTGCTGCCAGTTCATAGGGGACATTTTCTGATTTCTCTGAAGCCCATAGGGTAATTATTAACCTCAGAGGGACTTGGCCTTTGTTTATTTATTCTTGATTTTTAACATAGAGGTGTTTCATGCTTTTGTTTCTGGGCTCTGCTTTTTTAATCAGGACAGCATTTGGAAGCGTTGTTTTTTACGTCTTTAATGAGTGTATGTGGGGGTTGGACCTTGTCTGAACTCTAGATAATTAGTTTCATATTAATGTTTTTCTACCTTCACAAAAACAATGTTTGTTTTCCTTCTTGTTTGATACCAGAAGAATGTTTTGAAAAGAAATAGGTTCACCTCTCATCACTGAGTCTAACACAGTTTTCTGGTGGGAAAAGAAAATCGCAGTTAAAAATCAGAAACCTTCAGACCAAACTCTTTCCTTACACTTAACCAGTCGATAATTTACTGGAAAATCAGTGTTTCGAAGAATGTGGAACTTACTTGAAAATCAGCGGTGACGGGTCTCCTGCCTGGCATACGCTTCCCTTCCCTGCATAGTCCCACGCTCCCAGAGTCACCCTCAGAATCCAGACAGTGGTTTGTTTTTTTTTTAACACGTACCTTTTCTAATGAATTTTTTTACTTAGGGGACAAAGCTTTGTACTAGCATTTGGTGTTTCTTTGTAGAGAGAGATGAAGAGTGGACACGTGTTTTAAAGAAGTAAAAGATTGCATGTTGTAAAGAGAGCCTTCATAAACTAAATCAAGATAGGTTGTCCTGGATCACACTGATGACTCCTTTGTTAAAAGCATTTTAAGAAAATGCCCTTTGTTACCTGATTTTGGTGTACATTGTGTTTTTAACATGGTTTTCTTCAGTATATGGCCTATTAGAATTGTTTGGCTGTAGGCCAGAGGCCATATCAGCAAAAGGTTAAGATATAAACATAAAATATGATCTTCACAGTGGGTTGCACTACTTAAACAGTTTGGTTATATCCACAGACTGGGAACTAGAGGATGTGTGACACTTTAACGGGTCACACATCTCTAGTGTGTCCTACTTGGTTACTCTCCTGCGGTGTTAACTCCTTTCATAGGTGGCAGATTGGCTCACAAGATAGGAACAGTAGTATACATAAGAGCTTTCTGTATGCCAGCAGTGTGTAGGCATGTAGACAACCACTGCATCCACATAGCAACCCTGTGAGAAACACATCAATCTACAGAAAGTATTGAAAGAGGAATACACATCTCATGATGCAGAATAAACAGATTATACCTTGAATCAAGATTATAGTCAATAAATCATATATCATAGTTTACACTCCTTTGAAAAGCTACATAGAATCAATGAGCTTTTTTTCTTTTTTATAGAAATGCTAGTTGCAGCTTACAATGTCTGTTTAATATTTGAAGCTGCAGCTTTCAGAACACTTAGAGAAACTACTGAATGGGCATTAAGTTTTATTTTGCTGTAGGAAAAAATACCAAGTTTCACCCTTCCTACAGAGTCACTTGTCCTAAATGCCAGTTAGTGACAGAGCTCTAAGTAGTCCTTGCCCCTGCCTGTTCACCCTCTGCCTGTGGGACTTACTGTAGGTACTAGTGCTCATTAACCTAGGTAGTGGGGTTTTTGTGTACTGGCTAAACTGCCATTAATGAAAGGGAAACACAGAATGTGTCCAGCGCGTCTATAAAGTGCAGTAGGTACAGGTCTTGAAATCCTTAATTGACGGTGTTCACATGGTCAGATGAGAATTCTGTTGACTGAAGAGGTACCACCAGCTGCCTAACATGCCCCGTTATATAAGATCCTAAGTGGTGCCAGGTGGTGGTGGCGCATGCCTTTAATCCCAGCACT